AGTGGGCAAAGGATATGAACAGACACTTTACAAAAGAAGACATATATGAGGCCAACAATCATATGAAAAAATGCTCATCGTCACTGGTCATCAGAGAGATGCAAATCAAAACCACATTGAGATACCATCTCACGCCAGTTAGAATGGCGATCATTAAAAAATCTGGAGACAACAGATGCTGGAGAGGATGTGGAGAAAAAGGAACACTTTTACACTGTTGGTGGGAGTGTAAATTAGTTCAACCATTGTGGAAGACAGTGTGGCGATTCCTCAAGGCCTTAGAAATAGAAATTCCATTTGAGCCAGCAATCCCATTACTGGGTATATATCCAAAAGACTATCAATCGTTCTACTATTAGGACACATGTACACGAATGTTCATTGCAGCACTGTTTACAATAGCAAAGACCTGGAATCAACCCAAATGCCCATTGATAATAGACTGGATTGGAAAAATGTGGCACATATACACCATGGAATATTATGCAGCAATTAGAAATGATGAGTTTGTGTCGTTTGTAGGGACATGGATGAATCTGGAGAACGTCATCCTCAGCAAACTGACACAAGAACAGAAAATGAAACACCGCATATTCTCACTCATAGGCGGGTGATGAAAAATGAGAACACATGGACACAGAAAGGGGAGTACTAAACACTGGGGTCTATTGGGGGGAAAAGGGGAGGGCCAGTGGGAGGGGGAGGTGGGGAGGGATAGCCTGGGGAGAAATGCCAAATATGGGTGAAGGGGAGAAAGAAAGAAAAGCACACTGCCATGTGTGTTCCTACGCAACTGTCTTACATGCTCTGCTCATGTACCCCAAAACCTAAAATCCAATACAAAATTAAAAAAAAAAAAAGATATCAAAGTAGAACCAAAACGTATTACAATAATAGCATAGGAAAGGGTGATAGGATTAAATATAAGTTTTGAAAAATGTTATTTTTTTTAACTTTTATTTTAAGTTTGGAGTACATGTGCAGATTTGTTATATAGGTGAGCTTGTGTCATGGGGGTTTGTTGTACAGATTATTTTGTCTCCCAAGTATTAAACCTAATACCCACCAGTTATTTTTCCTGATCCTCTCCCTTCTCCCTCCCTTAACCCTCCAATAGGCCCCAGTGTGTACTGTTCCCTCCCATGTGTCCATGTGCTCCCATCATTTAGCTTCCACTTCATAAGTGAGAACATGTGGTACTTGATTTTCTGTTCCTGCATTAGTTTGCTAAGGATAAAGTCCTTCAGCTCCATCCATATTCCAGCACAGGACATGAGCTCATTCTTTTTTTATGGCTGTATAGCATTCCATGGTGTATATGTACAGCATTTTCTTTATCCAATCTGTCACTGATGAGCATTTAGGTTGATTCTGTATCTTTGCTATTGTGAGTAGTGCATGCTTGCATTTTTCTTTTTCTTTTCTTTTTTTTTTTTTTTTTTTGAGATGGAGTTTCGCTCTTGTTACCCAGGCTGGAGTGCAATGGCGTGATCTCGGCTCACCGCAACCTCGGCCTCCCGGGTTCAGGCAATTCTCCTGCCTCAGCCTCCCGAGTAGCTGGGATTACAGGCTTGAGCCACCGCACCCGGCCCTGCATTTTTCTTTGTGATAGAATGATTTTTTTTTTTTTTCCTTTGGAGATACACCCAGTAATGGAATTGCTGGGTCAGATGGGAAGTTCTATTTTTAGGTGTTTGAGGAATCACCACACTGCTTTATATAGTGGTTGAACTCATTTACACTCCCACCAACAATATATAAAAGCCTTTTTAAAAACATACTTAAGGGCCGGGCGCGGTGGCTCGCGGCTGTAATCCCAGCACTTTGGGAGGCCGAGGCGGGTGGTTCACGAGGTCAGGAGATCGAGACCATCCTGGTCAACATGGTGAAACCCCGTCTCTACTAAAAATACCAAAAATTAGCTGGGCACGGTGGTGCGTGCCTGTGATCCCAGCTACTCAGGAGGCTGAGGCAGGAGAATTGCCTGAACCCGGGAGGCGGAGGTTGTGGTGAGCCAAGATCGCGCCATTGCACTCCAGCCTGGGTAACAAGAGCGAAACTCCGTCTCAAAAAAAAAAAAAAAAAAAAAATACTTAAGATATAGGCACATAGGATAAAAAGATCAACAAATAAATAGCAAAAGAAACTCATGAGGTATGAAACAACTGATGAAGCTACATTAGTATAATACAAATAGACATTTGGGCAAAAAGCTTTGATTGAGATGAAGGGGATCATTACCTATTGCAAGAATAATGTATTTACTAGGAAAATATAATAATTCTAAATTTGAATAACATGGATTCTTAATAACATGGATTCAAAATATAGGAAAAATTTGTAGCACTGTTATCCAAAGAGACTGGAAAAATACACCATAATAGTGGGAGTCATTAAAACATTTCTTTCAATAGTTAGATCAAAAAGACAAACGAATAAACATGTATAAGGCTTAAATAATATAATTATTCATTTGATAAACATACATTTACACTCACCCAGCACCTAGAAGATTATAATTATTTTCAAACACAAATAGAAGATCTGTAAAAATCAATCTTAAGAAATTTTAAGGCTAGATGTCATATTTTCTGATTTCAACAAAATTAAGTTAGAAGTCAATTTTGGAAATATAACTTGAAAAACCCATATATTTGGAAATTGAAAAACATATTTTCAAATCACCCATGAGTAAAAAATATATATTGTCAGAAAATACATAGAACTGAATGGTAGCAAAAAACTCTAAAAACTTCTAGCTATATCAAAGAGAGGTACTTGAAAAAAAATGTATAGCTTTAAATGCTTAAGAAAAAAAGATAAGTTACGCATGTTTCTTAAAAAGTTAGAAATCTAAATATTTAAAAGTTAAAATATTAAGAAATTAAAAGGAAGGAAATCATAAAATAAGAGCCTGAAAATAATGAAACTGAAAACAAAGCTAAGAGAGAATATTTGTCAAAAGTCATTTCCTTGAAAGGACTGATGAAATGGCAAACTATAGACAAGATTTATGCAGGGATAAACAAAAGAAAGCACATATGCACAGTATTAAAAATGAAGAGGCCAGGCACGGTGGCTCACATCTGTAATCCCAGCACTTTGGGAGGCCGAGGTGGGTGGATCACTTGAGGTTAGGAGTTCGAGACCAGCCTGGCTAACATGGTGAAACTCCGTTTCTACTAAAAATGCAAAAATTAGCCCAGTGTGGTCCCAGCTACTTGGGAGGCTGAGGCAGGAGAATTGCTTGAACCTGGAAGGCAGAGGTTGCAGTGAGCTGAGATCGCACCACTGCATCCCAGGCTGGGCAACAGAGTGACACTCTATGTCAAAGAAAATAAGAAAAGAAAAGAGACATTCTTTAAAATGTCATAGTGATTAAACATAAAAGAATTATATAGCTTTCTGCCAATATATTTTAAAACTTAGGTAAAATAAGCAAAGTTTTAAAAAAGTGTAACTTGTTTGTGAAGAAATAGAAAATATCTTCAACCATTAAAAAATAGATTTAGTTTCAACATTTCCCACAAAAAAACACCAGATCCAGATAATTTTACAGATTTTTGACAAACATTTATAGAACAGATAATTCTAAGCTTAACACAAACCCTTTTAGAGAGGAGAGAGAACTTAATTCTTTAATTTAAAAAGGGCAGTGAAATCAAAGTCACCATGAGAAAGAAAAGCTAGTCATTCTCACTTAAGAAGATATATGCAAAACTCCTAAACAAGATATGAGTAAACCAGATCCAGCATTTTATGAAAAAATCATATGTTGAGCAAACAAAGGCAGCTGGCTGGATAGCACACACAAATATACCAGATCTCCTGGAATGTTGTATACCAAGAGAAGTTTACGTAGTCACAAGCTGTGTTCCCCATTGCCCATCATTTCCTGTGGAAGATCAAAGGGAGGTAGTAGGGTTGGGAACAGACATAGGGAGAAAGATCCCTTGGACTGTAGAGATTTTATGAATAAGGTATGTTATTGGGGAAACAATAACATTTTTATTAATCAAAGCCATGATCAAGGGCTGGAGTTCAAACTTTTATGCCTATTATAGCAGAAACTTAGCCTTATACCTGTTTTTCAATCTTAGTAATTACCAGTTAGGAGAACATCATGATGCCTACTTTTCATCCCCCTTGTGATCAGGGTTCTGTGCAAAAGCTTTGTGGTTACAGCTGTAAGATATGGCACTTTACTAGAACTGATTGACTCTTAAGATTTCCTTGGATGCCAGGCTGCAGGTAATCAATTTTAAACAAGTGAATCCTTAGTTCTCATGAAACAGTAAGACGAGACTGGAATTATTCCACAAATGCAAGAGTTATTCTACATTTGGAAATTATTTATTCCCACTTGAATGGATTACTGTCATCATCTCATTGACTGTCCCTGGCCCTGCCTCCAGGACTAGCTTACACTGTCCTAATAGCAGTGATTACAACTGAAATGAAACTATTATTTATATAATTTTTTAGTATCTGTCTCCCCAGATGGAATATTTTCTCCATGAAGTCAGGAATTGTATCTATAGTGTTAATTATTGTAATCCAAGTATTTAGCAGTGCACCTAGTATGTGTTATAGATGGTCACTAATAATTTGTTGGATGAATGGATAAACGGGTGAGAAATTGAGCTAAATTACTTGGATCTTTCCTAGACCTAAGACTCTATCCTTATAGAAGGACATTTGTTCTTTTCTCCTGCAGTGATTTCTTCTAAGCATTAATTTGCTAAAATTAATTATTTGTAGTGATAGTTTGAGCTGAATATGGGAGAGAGACATTACAAAAACTATATTATATATGTGTCCTATCAGCATATGGAAATACACAGTTATGTATTCTAGTGGGAATGTAGGAGAGACCATGACTCTTGACCAGAGCAAAAGACTGCACTCCCTCAGGTTCTTAAGAATGCCTGGCTGTTGTGTGTCAAGTCTTTCTTCCCACACTCATTCCTTCTTTTCTCTCTAACACCATCTTATATTAGAGAACTTTCCCCAGTGTGTGCTGGAAATCTCTGACCAAGAGGTGTTGGAATGGTATACTGCTAAAGACTTCATTGTTGGGAAGTCACTCACTATTCTTGGGAGAACTTTCTTCATTTATGATTGTGATCCATTTACTCGACGGTATTACAAAGAGAAGTTTGGAATTGCTGATTTACCACGTATTGATGTGAGCAAGCAGGAACCACCTCCAGTAAAACAGGTAATCAGATGGGCTAATGTGGCTAGAAAACTAATTTTTTGAGGTAGAAATTTAAGAAAAAGGAAAAAGACTTCTATGCAAATACTTGATAAAAAATGGACAAAGTATATATGTAATACAGTAGTTCACAAAAGAAGAAATACAAATGTCAAAAATTATGAAAAGACCCTCAATCTGACTGATAATCAATGAAATAGAAAGAAAATAATGACATTTTTGGATCTATTCAATTTTAAAGGATTCACCATATCCAGTGTTTGCCCTATATGAAGAAATGGGATTTTTTTTTTCTTTTTTTTATTGTATTTGGGCTCTGGAGTACATGTGCCCATCCTGCATCCTGCAGGATTGTTGCATAGGTACATACACGCCATGGTCGTTTGCTGTCTCCATCCCCCCGTCGTTGCCTACATCAGGCATTTCTCCCCGTGTTATCCCTCCCCCTCTTCCCCACCCCCCCCCCACTCAGCCCTGTGAGTGTTGTTCCCTTCCCTGTGCCCAAGTATTCTCATTATTAATCACCACCTATGAGTGAAAACATGCAGTGTTTGGTCTTCTGTTCTTGTATCAGTTTGCTGAGAATGATGGTTTTCAGGTTCATCCATGTCTCTACAAAGGACACAAACTCATCATTTTTTATGGCTGCATAGTATTCCATGGTGTATATGTGCCACATTTTCCTTGTCCATTCTATCATCGATGGGCATTTGGGTTGGTTCCAGGTCTTTGCTATTTTAAACAGTGCCGCAATGAACATATGTGTGCATGTGTCTTTATGATAGAATGATTTATAATCCTTTGAATGTATACCCAGTAAAGGGATTGCTGGATCAAATGGAATTTCTATTTCTAGATCCTTGAGGAATCGCTACACTGTTTTCCCCAATGGTTGAACTAATTTACACTCCCACCAACAATGTAGAAGTGTTCCTTTTTCTCCACATCGTCTCCAGCATCTGTTGTCTCCACATTTTTTAACAATCGTCATTCTAACTGGCATGAGATGGTATCTCAACATGGTTTTGATTTGTGTTTCTCTAATGACCAGTGATGATGAGCATTTTTCCTGTTTGTTGTCTGCATATTTGTCTTCTTTTGAAAAGTGTCTGTTCATATCCTTCTCCCACTTTTGAATGGGTTTGTTTGTTTCCTGTAAATCTGCTTTAGTGCTTGGTAGATTCTGGATATTAGCCCTTTGTCTGATGGGTAGATTGTGAAAATTTTTTCCCGTTCTGTTGGTTGCTGGTTTACTCTAATGATTGTTTCTTTTGCTTAGCAGAAGCTCTTAAATTTAATTACGTCCCATTTGTCTATTTTGACTTTTGTTGCCATAGCGTTGGGTGTTTTAGTCATGAAGTCCTGGCCTGTGCCTATGTCTTGAATGGTTTTGCCTACATTTTCTTCTAGGGTTTTTATGGTGTTTGTTCTTATGTTTAAATCTTTAATCCATCTGGAGTTAATTTTTTTATAAGGTGTAAGGAAGGGATCCAGATTCAGCCTCCTGCATATGGCTAGCCAGTTTTCCCAACACCATTTATTAGACAGGGAATCCTTTCCCCATTGCTTGTTTTTGTCAGGTTTGTCAAAGATCAGATGGTTGTAGATGTGTGGCGTTGCTTCTGAGGCCTCTCTTCTGTTCCATTAATCTGTATCTCTGTTTTGGTACCAGTACCATGCTGTTTTGGTTACTGTAGCCTTGTAGTATAATTTGAAGTCCAGTAGTGTGCTGCCTCTGGCTTTGTTCTTTTTGCTTAGAATTGACTTGGCTATGTGGGCTCTCTTTTGGTTCCATATGAAGTTTAAGGTGTTTTTTTCCAGTTCTTTGAAGAAGGTCATTGGTAGCTTGATGGGGATAGCATTGAATCTGTAAATTACTTTGGGCAGTATGGCCATTTTCACAATATTGATTCTTCCTAACCATGAGCATGGAATGTTTTTCCATCTTTTTGTGTGCTCTCTTTATTCTTTGAGCAGTGGTTTGTACTTCTCCTTGAAGAGATCTTTTACCTCCTTTGTTAGTTGCATTCCTAGGCATTTTATTCTCTATGTAGCAATTGTAAGTGGGAGTTTGCTCATGATTTGGTGATCTGTTGTCTGTTATTAGTGTATAGGAATGCTTGTGATTTCTGCACATTGATTTTGTATCCTGAGACTTTATCAAAGTTGCTTATCAGCTTAAGAACGTTTTGGGCTGAGACGATGGGGTCTTGTAAATATACAATCATGTCGTCTGTAAACAGGGACAATTTGACTTCTTCTTTTCCTAATTGAATGCCCTTCATTTCTTTTTCTTGCCTAATTGCTCTGGCTAGAACTTCCAATGCTATATTGAATAAGAGTGGTGAGAGAGGGCATCCTTGTCTAGTGCCACTTTTTAAAGGGAATGCTTCTAATTTTTGCCCATTCACTATGATATTGGCTGTGTGTTTGTCGAAGGCCTTCTCTGCATCTATTGAGATAATCGTGGTTTTTGTCTTTGGTTCTGTTTATGTGGTGAATTACATTTATAGATTTGTGTATGTTGAACTAGCCTTACATCCCCGGTATGAAGCCTACTTGATCGTGGTGGATAAGCTTTTTGATGTGCTGTTGGATTCTGTTTGCCAGTATTTTATTGAAGATTTTTGCATCAATGTTCATCATGGATATTGGCCTGTAGTCTTTTTTAGTTATGTCTCTGCCAGATTTTGGTATCAGGATGACGTTGGTCTCATAGAAAGAGTTAGGGAGGATTCCCTCTTTTTGTACTTTTTGGAATAGTTTCAGATGGAGTGGTACCAACTCCTCTTTGTATGTCTTGTAGAATTCAGCTGTTAACCCGTCTGGACCTGGACTTTTTTTGGTTGGTAGGCTATTAATTGCTACCTCAACTTCAGACCTTGTTATTGGTCTTTTCAGGGTTTCAACTTCTTCTTGGCTTAGTCTTGGAAGTCCTGCAGGTGTCCAGGAATTTATCCATTTCTTCCAGATTTACTGGTTCATGTGCATAGAGCCGTTTGTAGTAATCTCTGATGGTGGTTTGTATTTCCAAGGAATCAGTGGTGATCTTCCCTTTATTGTTTTTTATTGCATCTATTCGAGTCTTCTCTCTTTTCTTTTTTATTAGTCTAGCTAGTGGTCTGTCTATTTTGTTGCTCTTTTAAAAAAACCAGCTTCTGGATTTATTGATTTTTTGAAGGGTTTCTTGTGTCTATATCTCCTTCAGTTCTGCTCTGATATGAGTTATTTCTTGTCTTCTGCTAGATTTTGAGTTTTTTTGATCTTGCTTCTCTAGCTCTTTCAATTTTGACAATAGGGTTTCGATTTTAGATCTTTCCTTCTTTCTCATGTGGGCATTTATTGCTGTAAATTTCCCTCTAGACACTGCTTTAAATGTGTCCCATAGAATCTTAAGTATGTTGTATCTTTGTTCTCATTGGTTTCAAAGAACATTTTTATTTCTGCCTTCATTTCATTGTTTATCCATTCATCATCCAGGAGCAAGTTGTTCAGTTTCCATGTGATTGTGTGGTTTTGAGTGCTTTTCTTAATCCTGAGTTCTAATTTGATTGCACTGTGGTCTGAGAGACTGTTTGTTATGGTTTGCATTTGCTGAGGAGTGATTTACTTCCAATTATGTGGTCAATTTTGGAGTAAGTGTAATGCGGTGCTGAGAAGAATGTGTATTCTGTGGATTTGGGGTGGCATGTCCTGTAAAAGTCTATTAGGTCCGCCTGGTCCAAATCTGTGTTCAAGTCCTGGATATCCTTGTTGACTTTCTGTCTTGTTGATCGACATATTGTCGGTGGAGTGTTAAAGTCTTCTGCTATTATTGTGTGGGAGTCTAAGTCTATTTGTAGGTCTTTAAGAACTTGCTTTATGTATCTGGGTGCTCCTGTATTGGGTGCGCAACGATTTAGGATAGTTAGCTCTTCTTGTTGCATTGATCCTTTTACCATCATATAATGCCCTCTTTGTCTCTTTTGATCTTTGTTGGTTAAAAGTCCATTTTATCAGAGACTAGGATTGCTACCCCTGCTTTTTTTTTTTTCCTCTGCATTTGCTTGGTAAATCTTCTTCCTTCCCTTTACTTTGAGTCTGGGTGAGTCTTTTCAGGTGAGAGGGTCTCCTGAATACAGCACAATGATGAGTTTTGACATTTTATCCAGTTCGCCAGTCTGCATCTTTTTGTTGGGGCGTTTAGGCCATTTACATTCAACATTAATATTGTTATGTTTGAATTTGATCCTGCTTTACTGGCTGGTTGTTTTGCCTGTTAATTGACATGGCTCCTTCATTGTGTCATTATTCTTTACCATTTGGTACATTTTTGCAGTGGCTGGTACTGGTTGCCCGTTTCCCTGTTTAGTACTTCCTTCAGTAGCTCCTGTAAGGCAGGTCTTGTAGTGACAAAATCTCTCAGCAATTGCTTGTCCATGAAGGATTTTATTTCTCCTTCACTCACGAAGCTTAGTTTGGCCAGATATGAAATTCTGCGTTGAAAGTTCTTTTCTTTAAGGATATTGAATATTGGCCCCATTCCTTTGAGGCTTGCAGGGTTTCTGCTGAGAGATCCACTGTGAGTCTGATGGTGTTTCCTTTGTGGGTGACTCAACCCTTCTCTCTGGCTGCCCTTAGCATTTTTTTCTTTCATTTAAACCCTGGTGAATCTGACAACTATGTGCCTTGGGGTTGCTCTTCTTGAAGAATATCTTTGTGGTGTTCTCTGTATTTCCTGGATTTGAATATTGGCCTGCCTTGTTAGGTTGGGAAAGTTCTCTTGGATAATATCTTGAAGAGTGTTTTCCAACTTGGATTCATTCTCCCCGTCACATTCAGGTACGCCAATCAAGCATAGATTAGGTTTTTTCACATAATTCCAGAGTTCTTGAAGTCTTTGTTCATTTCTTTTCACTCTTTTTTCTCTATTCTTCCTTCTCATTTTATTTCTTTGATTTGATCTTCTTTCTGATATCCTGTCTTCTGCTTGATCAATTCAGGTGTTGAAACTTGTGTATGCC